AGGCGGTCCTTTACATAACCAGGTCCTAAGCTGTTTAGGGCTTTATATGTCAGAGTAAGCACTTTCAATTGGGCCCGAGAAGCAACCGGCAGCCAGTGTAAATTTTTCAGAACTGGCGTGATATGAGTCTGTATGGCGGCACCACTTACCAGCCGCGCAGCCCGGTTCTGTGCCAGTTGCAGTCGCCGGACCGTCTTCAAAGGCTGCCCCACGTATAGCACGTTTAGTTGGGATCTCTTTTATTACTGTGTTTCCCCCACAACAAGACAGGGTCTTAATTTTTGCTCCAAAATGCATTAAGGCTTATTTTCAGGGTATGTTTTATTTCACAGTCATGTCATTTCCTGGTTGCTGCACAATGAGGCACAATGGTGGAGGGTGGGGTTTCACTTAACTGGGGCTTATTTTTGGGGTAGGGCTTATATTACGAGCATCCTGAAAAATCATACTAAGGCTTATTTTCAGGTTAGGTCTTATTTTCGGGGAAACAGGGTATAATTTGAATTTACTGGCTTGGGTCCTACTCTAGAGCAGCAAGAAAAGGAGTTTGTTCTGTTTTTCATGTGGTACCTCCTCAGTGGGACACAATTATTTATATCACTTCAGACACCTGAATTATTATACCACCTCCCAGTCTTCCTCAACTAAACATAACCGATTCCCTTCAGATATTCTCACTGGGTTTGATTTCCAGACCCTTTATCATCTTAGATATATTCCACTTTGTCCATATCCTTCCTAAAACTGAGTAAAGTAGCCATGCTGAGAAACAGCAACTGTCCAAGGTTATTGTGGGTTTTTTGGGCTCTTTGGCCATGTTCTGAAGGTTGTTCTTCCTAACGTTTCGTCAGTCTCTATGGCCGGAATCTTCAGAGGACAGGAGTAGCACTGGGCCAAAGAGCCCGAAAAACCCACAACAACCATTACATCCCGACCATGAAAGCTTTCGCAAATACACTGTCCAAAATTACATAATCAAATTCACTGCTTAGTGGAGACAAGAACGTTGATCTCCCAAGACTCAATCCAACATTCCAACCACTGTACCATAGTCTTTGAATGATCTGGGTGAAGTGCTGGGTTTGAGTACTCCTCCAATTAATCCCCCACATAGCTGTGAGAAGGATTTTGGAATAGTTTTGTTTCATTTTTGGTGAATTAAATAATCTACCTAAATGCTTCATGGCTCATTGGTAAGAAACTAACCAGAATTTGTATTCAACTATTGTAAGTACTGTAGTAATAAATCACAATTTAGTTATACATGAACCAGATGACTGTGTCATTTCTGAAAATGCAGATATAATACTTTATTTAAACACTTATTAAAAGATTATGAATACTCACTAAATCTACGGAGAGAGAACATTCTCTCCCCAACGCAACAAATCAAAATAGATTGGTTAAGGAACAAAAACATTTCTTTGATTGTTGTTTGATGTCACTTGGACGCTGGCTGTTATTTAAAACAGATTATTATGTTATGGCACATTTTGGAGAAGTGCTGGCACGTTTTGTTTAATGACCAATTTATCCAATACAACCATTACTTTAATCAGTCAGTTCTTGGCTAGGGCAAATGGCCATATAAATGATAAAAAATACTAATACTACATATATTATTAGATTTCTATACAGCAAGTTGAGGATTAATAAATACGTAAGCAAAAACCTCACAAGTGCATAAACCAAGCAAGCAAGCAAGAAAAGAAAAGCTCTGGTACATGGTTAAATTATTTAAGAAATCCAATATTTCGGAATGCATAACACAATAAAAATACTATGGCTACCCCATACAAAAGACTGCTAGGATAAATGGCTTTGCACTGAACAGATTTTCACTGTATGAAATAACGAATGGCTGAATTATCTGAACAAAAAAACCCCTCTGTGAATCTTCCTTTAAACTGGTTATTCCTTTGCAATACAATAAATCTTCTTAGGCAGGGCACTCTGCCATCTGTTTGTAGTTGGTTATTTTCAGAGCTCTGGGGGCCAGAGGAAAAGGGGCAAAATATTACTGCTGCTAAACAGCAAGCCAGAATTTATAGTGCAGTTTCAATGCTCAAAAGTAATTTTATTTCAGCCAGACAGACAAAACACATAACCACATAACCCAAACACTGTATTACCTGGGACAACTCCGGTGGGGAGGGAAAGCAAGCTATTATCTAATGGCCTGTTCAACAGATTCCCCCCCTCCCCCAACTGGAGCAAAAGTGTGCAGCACTGGCAAACAAATGGCCTCCTGCCTAGCACTAAGAGAAGCAATTTTATTTTTAAAAAAGCCATCTCTGATTAACGCTTTTTTATTCTTTTCCTTACACTTGCTGAAAACATAATATAAAACCAATATAAACAAGACAACTGTAAATGCCTCTGCTAAATTGTTTCTAGAAGATTAAAAAAGAGGCAGGCATGATGAGGCTCTAGTCTAGGACAATGTCAGCTTTCAGAAAAGAATTACGCAGGACTAACATTTGACATTCAAAAGGCTTGAAACATTTAAAGAGAAGCTGGGGTAGAGGCGCAAGGGATTCACAGAGATTTTATGATTTTTTAAAATGTATTTCATGGTGTTACAGACATATAAAGAGAGAGAAAGGGAGAGAAATCTTCTGGGGTTAAGGGTAGGGTTGGGAACACATGGATGTCCAGATATGGTTGAACATCAGTACCAGCCAGCATGGCTAAAGGTGATGAACGCTGGGAGTTGCAATCTGCCCCAAATCATTGGAGGGCCCCACATTTCCCCATCCTTTACGTATAGTTTTGTTATGATGGGCTTCAGTTTCAGCCTGCACACCCATGTTACTTAAGCAACTGACCAACTGTGTGGAGTGTAAGGCTACAGCATCTTCATCAGATCTAAAATTAGGGGGGAATTAATGTAAGTAGAGAAGACAAAATCAGCTGGCTCCTGCATTATCCTTTCCAAGAGGGAATGCTTATATTCAAGCGCCCCCTGCCGGTTTTGGAACAAAGGAGAAGGCAAGTTACTCTTCCTCCAGCAGCCACATAGAGGCAGTCGTAGCTGAAAGGGGTTGAGGAATGAATGGCTCCTCAGTTAGACCTGATATGCACCCCTAAAAAGGAAAGAGGGGCCAAAACTGCTGCCCCAAACTGATCTGCAGGAAAGGGAAAGTAAGGCTTCAACTGCCCTGACAGTAGACCATTCTCCAGTCCTGAGGGTAGTAAAATCACTGATAAGGATGCAATTGTTGTTGTTGGCTTAGAAGGGAAAAAAAGACTTTGAAACAAAAAAGAGGTAGAGGAAAGAAATCTATATCTATCAATTGTGGCTGTTCCTGTAAGAAGAATGAGCAAAGGTAAGCAAACCAAGGCAAGAAAAAGCAAAGGAAGAGATAAGGCTTCCAAACAATTTGCTGTACTTTTCTCCATTCTAAAACTGTCCGAGTGAGAGGGAAGAGGACACAAACTTGTATATATATATGTTTTATGGAGTGAAATTCACTTTGTGAGTTCATACATAGGCACAGAAGTTACTGTCAAAGCACTCTGAAATCTAGCTTCAAGATTATGAAGGCTTAAAATGAAGCCTCCATATTCTTTAGTAATTTGGACTGCTACTTCAAAGGATGTTGGCATCGTATATATTTTTATTAACAGAAAAAAAATCAAGGCTACGGATATGACATATTGCTTTACACCACTATTTATTATGTTCCTGACAGATTTCTTCTTTCTTTCTCAAATGTGCATACACATGTGCACGCACACAAATGCGTGTGTGGCATTTATTATGATTTACTGTCATCTGCAGTAATTATTTTTGGAAATAATTTGTTCCCAGAAACCCAATTAGGGTATGATTCAATTTCCATTGCCCGCCCTCCCAGAAATTCACACACTTATTCCCAACAACTCAAGATAATCTAACTTATCATGCAAATATGTATCATGAGATATCCAAGAATGATAAATTTTGAGGAAAATTTATGGATGGAACAACATTTTTTGCTATGGAATATAAATCTGAGTATTTAAAAAAAGAATTTAAATCCAAGATGGGCAATATGCAGCTTCCATAATACTCCTGGAACCCTCAGTCCTTAAGACCCTCCAAATTTACAATTCGTTTAGAAAAAAATGGGGAGTCCCACTATGCCTTTTGAAAGATGTGGGGAGCAATTCTGCCATGTTTTGAAGGCCTCCAGTACCTCTCAAATAAAAATAAATAAAAAGGCCTCTTTCTAGTCACCCTTGTTTTATTTACAAAATCCCACTGCAACAACCTTTACGGTATATATCCACTGCACTACTTTAAGGGGGGGGGAGGCAGAAAAACTAGGGTTTTTGGCCCCCTCCCTTCCATCTTTAGCACCATATTTTGAGAATGTAGCTGTCAAGTTGCCAGCAAATCTAAAAAACTGTCCGTGGCCTTGACATATTTGCCCACCCTGATTCAAACAATCCCACACAGAAACAGATACACTGTCTTGGTACTTCTACAAGAAGAAGAAAATAAATACTGTAAGTGCAAAAGGAACTTTTGATAATGTTATAGGACATATCCATTTTTTTGTCAATGCAAACTGACAAATATAAGAAATAGAACTTCCAGAAGGTAGTACTTCATTCTGAATGTCCAAAAACAGTCAGTGACGTTGGGGACTTCTCTGGCTGTGTTCCCAATCTGAGAAACTGTCAATTATTTTCATCTAAAAATACTGCTTAATTGCAACCATACTAGATGCACAAACCTTGCTACATTATAAGGAAAAGTTAACTTCCTTTCAGTCCAGCCAGCTATTAAAACATGCCACATTCATATTTTCATGAAATGACTGAATAAGATTTAAATATGTAACACAAACTCATAAAGGATTTGACACAATAATTGGAAACTCTTGAACTCTCACAGTGCTACTACAAGGTAAAGAACCTGTTATGAAGCCACCAGGGAAAAAGCCTCTCCACCATGTGAGGATCTGTAGCTTCCAAAATGTAGTTGCTCCTAAAAGGTTACCAACGATTACCTGTGGAACTGTTCACCATGTTAGGTGCCATGCTGTAAGGAGGAACTTGAGGATTCATCAGGCTTGAGTTGCTGTTCATTGGTTGGCTGTAGGGAGAGCTGGATCCCATAATGCTGCTCTGATTGACGACAGGAAAACTGCCTTGCCTAAGTGAAGAGAAAGCACACACACGTGCACAAGCTCTTATTATGTTTCTTACGGCACAGGACATTTTGGTTAGTCACAGAATTCATACTTCAGCATTCACAAACCCTAAAGAAGACTCAGCCAGTTAGTCTCTGCCTGCAAGGGGAGGGGAGTTACTTGGTGGTAACTTATTACGGAATTAGTATTTAACTCATTTTTTCAGGGTTGCTCTAAGGGGTCCAAGCTATAATCATGCAGAACTCTGACCGAAATCTATGTTAATTTAAAATGGATATGGGCTTACGTTATTTAAAGAAAGTTGAAAGTGTTGCATGGTCAATGTGTACGAAGTGACAGAGGCACAGAACACCGAAAGGAGTGCTTGCTGTAGGTATTGCAAGAAAACTTTGAGTAACTTAGCTCCCCGAAGACATTCTTTTGACTCCACTTTGCCTACCAAACTATAGAAATAAGCCCCCAAACAAAACAATGTCAAACAAAATTAAGAAACAAACTCCCTCAAAGAAAAAAATAGCAAAGAAAGGAGGTAGATACACTAATAGAGTACATAACTTTAAGTAAGCAGTTTAAGATTTATGTTTCTCAAGCTTTTCAAAAAAGCATTCTAGGTTACAGAGAATACAACTGACATCCTCACTCTAGCTGTACTATACGGATTCTTGCTGACTCAATGACAGGTTCTTCTGATGTAGTTTGAACACAGCTTTTGACTGAGATCAAATGAATACAGCTCCCAACTCTCTCTCTCTCTCTCTCTCTCTCTCTCTCTTTCTCTCTCCTTCTCTGTGTTGTAATGGAAGTAGCCTCTGGCACAAGGAAACTATGATAAATAGCCAATCTCTGGTCAGAAGTGATCAGAGGATACAGCAGCACTCACAGATGCACCGATTTTCTGTTCCTCTAAAGATATATTTTATTCTAACTACGCAAGTCCCTAGCCATTCCCAAATATTTGAGCAGTCTTTTGTGAGAAGAGGAGCATCAATGGCCCAGTTTTCAGTAACAGGATGTCAGTCTTTCCAAGAGTGTGTCTTAAATTGGTGAAAACATCCTGTTCTGGATGTTCAGAAGAACTGCATTTGGAAAGAATTAAACTGAACTAAATCCTGTAATGGACAGAAATATTTTGTTGACTAAATCAAATGGTGTCCCTTCCTGTAGAAATCAAGGTGCACAGTACTTGAAAACAGCCCATTTATTTTGTAACAGTACATCCCACCAGCCCGTCCTCACCCAAACCGAACAAAACAAAAAAACACAATAACAAACAACTAACAGTTTGCTGCCATCTTATGACATATAATATTTGCTGCTTCAGGTGGTTGTCTCACTCTCCCTAACAAACACTAAGGCTGGCTTTGACCTCAGTGCCCAATGTTATTTTACTGCATTGTGATCTCTGCAAGATAACATAGCTTTGAGAGATAGCTGATCTTCAAGAACACAGGCACTTACCACTGCATTATTAATTATAACGAGTATAGCAAAGCATGTGTATAACTGACAAAACAAATAACCTCCTTTGCACTCCATGGTTGGAATCTAGATACACTTAACCCCAACAGTGCTTCGTCTTCTATGAAAATACAGGTGCTGTAGTGAGGAGGAAATCTTATTTGTAAGCAGAAATATACTGTACTGTCAAACACAATGCACCTTTTGTTGCAATTTGATGTCCAGTATTATTTTGGAAAAATATTTTTATAGCAATTTTAATGTATGAAAATGGCAAACTAGTCAACACTAATTACTTTCTCCTTAATATTTTGTGAAATTCTTAAAAGAAGTAAATAATGTATGGCATTAACATTGTCTTTTGTTCAAAGTCAGTTTTGTCCTTTGCTCTGTAGAAGACAAACCTTTCTCCATTTCTGTTAAGAGACTAAGAAGTTCCTTTGATATGAAGGAGACAACTGATAGACAGTGTCATTCCCTTTATTAAACTTGTGATGATGTGTGGAAGAATATTTAAAATGCACAGTCATGTAATTCTCTAAAATGACAACAAGGGGAAAAATCAGTAAGGCTGTGTAACTACTTGAAAGGTTTTAGTAAAATCAGCCTTTTTAATGTAAATATTATACCTTTCAAAAGTATTCTGAAAATATGGTCAAAACTGCTGTGCAGCACATATCTAGGAAGTAAAACCTCTTGTACCCTGCACAACAGCGGCCTTCTTCTGCATTAAAATGTTTTATTTATATATACAGAATAAAAAGTCCAGTAGAAGAAGTCTATATAGTCCAGTAGAAGAAGCAAAACCATATAGAAAAAATTATTTGAAAATTATTATCGTCAGCATTTGTAAAATGTCTCTTGGATAAACTCATAGAATACTAATGTAATGGGATTCTTCAGACATAACATCAAACCACAGAATGAATAAACCACAATTCAACTATCTGGACAACTATGGTAAATAGCATACAGCCATGCCACCTTAGCAGGCTGACTACTTCTGATTCTGGAAGCTAAGCAGAATCAGGCCTAATTAGTACTTGGATGTGAGACCACCAAGGGAAAACCAGGGACTTGACTTGGCCTAGCAAAGAATCCTACCTGAAACTCTGGAGAGTCCCTACTAGTCAGAGTCAATAGTACTGAGATAAACAGACAATCGTCTGACTCAGTACGAGGCAGCTTCCTGTGTTACTAACAGTTTGCTGAAAACTAGCACTGGAACTTATTAATGACTACATGTGAAGTTGGAATTCTAATCTGACCAGTCCCTTTCTAAATATCTCCTCCTAGTATGCAGCAATTGGCTTTGATCAATATTCATTTTCCCAAGATAATGGGAAGACCTTCCATTAGTCTGCTACCATAAAAAGTTAAGAGGGTCTCTTTTCGGTATGAAATGTTCTAACTACTGTATGACTATTTAATACTGGCGTTCCCTTCCCTCTCGGACCACTTGCTCCTCTACGGCTTTCTATGTAGGGACAAAGTCTACTTATCTGGTGGTCTTATTTTGTTTAATAAGAGGATGGAAGTACATGTTAAAGAAAGAGGATCCAAAGGTAGATTATCTACACACAGTCTCACATGTAGTTTCTCTAGTGAAAAACTACAGCTTCATGCAATATTTAACAGGACTATGAAACAGTTATTCTGAAATTGGCCATGAAAGTAATTTTCTCAAAGGTCCTACACCTGGCTTGGATGGCTCACCACCTTTAAATGAGCACTAAACAGATTTTTAAAACGTACTGTATAAAAAATTCAACCTAAATTACATCAGTGAATCCTACAGCACCTTTAACTTTAAACAAAACAAAACAAAAGAATGATGGCACAAACCATGAAAAATTAAATATGTTAGTATTTCCATGTGCACAGAAAGCTCTTAAGTGATGTATTTTCTCCTGGATAAGTTATAAAAGTAATGAAGTTATGCAGTTATTTTGCTGCAACAGACTAAGAACTGCCAAAGTTACAATGTGAAAGAAACAGAAGATGGAGGAAGACACCTGTACTACGGGTTTCCATCAGACTAGAACACATTTTTCGTAAGACTTACTGGCATGGTTGGAGAATGATTTATGGCAGAGATGGGCAATCACAACATTTAAAATGTTGTTGGACTGCAATTCCATGAATCCATTACCACTGTTAGTAGTTGGTGGTTCAACATCACCTAGAGGCTTCCGTTGCTCACTTTTGTCTATAGTGTCATAATATAACAAAAAGCAGCAATCCGTTTCTCTGAAACATATAGTTTGAGACACTGTATAACTACAATGCAAAATTAATCTTACTTTTATGTCTTATCTAAAAGAAAATATATCACTGAAGGAGCCACAGGTGTCTTGGTAACAGTGATGTGCTTTGTACAGGACTGCCTCTGAAACTGTTTGGAAACTTCAGCTGGCTCAGAATGCTGTAGCCAGGCTGCTACAGAGGTGCCAACAGGTGGTATGCACTCTTTCAATTTTGCTTTATTTTCACAACAGCTCTATAAGTAAGATGAGAGTTTATGCCTGATCGAAGAACACTGAATAAACTTCAAGGGTGGGGCACAAAGAAGAATGGGTAGGCTTGAACACAGCTTGTCCAGAGTAACTAGAATGATTACATTACATTGGTTTTCTTCTACATTATCTGGGACATTGGTCACCTATCTCATTCAGAAACAACTACATAAGCTATCTTTCACAACAGGCAGATACATCCCCCACTGAACTCAAGGAAGCCTTACCAGATGCAAACATGTCACACAGGCCTACTCCACCTGTACTCATGTGACTAGCAACTCCTGGGAGTACAGAACAAGGCCAGTCTTTCCTTCTTGTAGCTGTTTATGACAGCTCTTTGAAGAGCAATATTACTACTTGTCTAGCACTAATAGAAAGCCAAATCTACTATTACCCCAACACACACAACCTTTTGGTATTTACAGAGATAGAGGCAAAGGAAGAAAACAAACCCTAATACTGGTATGCAGGAAAGGCCAGGCAGAATGGCAGGGAATTTCAGTATGTTTGGGACATGCCTGAGCATTCCAGATCAGATAAAATAAAACTGAGTCCAACAATTTTAGATCAAAAGGTCAGATGTGAAATGGAAATTGGTCACAGGCACTTGGGCACCAGAGTTTAAGGAAAGAAGTGACAAGCTGCGCAGTAGGGTGTGGCCAGCAGTAGGACACAGTATGAAGTAGATGAAATTGTATGGAAAAGTGCCGATTATGGCAAATTAAAGTAGGATGTGGCAGAAAATCTCTACATTTCAATATTTTGTCAAAAGCTCTAAAATATTTAAGGATTCCCTACGAGTATCTAATAACAAAGCATTTTAGAGTAGGTGTCAACTATTTTAGAGTAGGTATCAACTGGAAGGACAGATCCTGAAGCTGAGGCTCCAATACTTTCGCCATCTCATGAGAAGACTCCCTGGAAAAGACCCTGATGTTGGGCAAGAGGAGAAGGGAACAACAGAGGAAGAGATGGTTGGACAGCGTCATTGAAGCTACCAACATGAATTTGACCCAACTTCGGGA